GAGCTGAGCTTTCCTGGGGGCACCTGCATTGGGGGGCTATAACTCAGACATCCCAAATCCAATCTTTGCCAAACTCGGAGGGTGGGTGGAGGAGAGCCTCCTGAAGATGCCCTGTGAGTTTGGCATTACTAAATTATGAGGAGGCTGTTACCACCTCCCAAACTCATGTATCAAATGAACCATGAACCGGTTCGGGAAATGGGAAAAGTTTGTGAAAGTTAATTGTTTGTGTAATCAAATGAACCACAAACCACAATTTTCCCGGTTCATGCCCAACCCTACTGGGAACCGTTTAAACCCTGTGCTTCTGCTCCCCCACCCAAGCAGCAGGGAGCAGATATGGGGGGGTTAAATGGCTTCAAGACAGCAGAAATCTGGGAGTGGAATGCCTCTTAGGGGGGATTTTACGCCCTCCTGTCTGCTGACTGTGGCTCTCCATGGCCCATCCCTACACCTAATCCAATCACACCTGCTATTGCCATTCACCTGCTAATACCATTTGGCATCTGAAATCACTCCACCCTCCAAGATATAAGGACAGATTGTCAGGGTCAACAGCAAGCAGGTCCAAACACACTCTCCTGAAAAGGCTATGTTTTATTGGAATACTGGTCTGTTGCGAAGTGATAACAGGTACATTGTCAGGAATAACGATTAGTGCAAGGGGCTCCATACATGTACTCTGATGCTGCATCTAGCTAAGCAAATGAAATCCAAGTGCGCGGGAATCCTCCCGGCGGGATATTACATCATTAATGGGAGACTCACCCCAATCCCTTGAGAGCAGAAATATTCACACCTGTAGTGGAATCCAAGCCCTCCCTTCCCATCAAGGTTATACTGATAACGCTGTCTGGCTGAACCAGTTTGCATGGGGAAAAGAGCTCCTTCCTTATGTTACCCACGGTAGCTAAGCAATACAAGCATGTGTGGCTGCGCAAAAGTCATGGACAAAAGAAAAAAAAGAAAGCATGGCAGCTAGCTGACACAGATAGACTCACATTCTAGCTGTATCTAAAGAAGCGAACAGTGATGCACCGAAGCTCATATCCTGCCACAAAATTTGATAGTCTTTAAGGTGCTACTGAACTCTTGTTCTGTAAGATTTAAGTACATCCTAGAAATATGTACTAGATATACTAAGTATACATTTAGAAACTATGCGGGCCTCTTACTTTTTAAAAAGCAAAAAAAAAATGGTTTGCTAGTTCTTTTTTAAATTAATGTTCATACAATATTTGCATTTCATTAATCATCCCTTCCCTGTATGTCCCATGTGCCTTACTAGTAGGGGAAAAATGCATCCATTACAGTCACAGGTTTCAGCAAATTAATTTAGTCCAACATTATCCAAAAAACCCCAACCCAAACCAGAAGTTCTCCAGGTACTGTGTCTCCCACACTGGATGGGTTACCTGCATGTACTTTGTACTCAGGTGGGCATACTTGAATACAAATGCGAGAATCAGTCTTTAGGTGATGCTCAATCAAAGTCATAGTTCCTAAAGTACAGCATCTGCTCTGTGGTATTACAAAGCATGGAATGACGGAGATGAGCCAAAAGTGGTCAATATTTGGGGGTTGTTACTTATTTACTTATTTGTAGCCTGCTTTTCTTCTCAGTGGGAAGCCAAAGAGGCTTAAGAACAGAAGAACAGAAGAAGAGTCCTGCAGGATCAAATCAATAGTCCATCTAGTCCAGCATCCTGTCTCACACAGTGACCAACCAGTTCCTCTAGACAGCCCACAACAGCATATGGAGGCTGAAGCCTTCCCTTGATGTTGCCTCCTAGCTCTGGGACACAGAGAATTAGTGCCTCTGAATATGGAGGTTCCCCCCAGTCACCATGGCTGGTAGCCATTGATAGACTTATCTTCCATGAATCTATCTAATCCCCCTTTCAAGCTGTTCATTCCTGTGGCCATCACTACATCCTCTGGCAGTGAGCTCCACATTTTAATCACCCTCTGTGTAAAGCAGTATTTCCTTTTGTCCTTTTGTCCATCCTGGACTACTGCCCATCAGTTTCATTGGATGCCCTCAAGTTCCAGTATTTGGGGAGAGCGAGAAAAATTACCATATCAAAAAGAAAATTACAATACAATAAACAAGTCAAAGGGGGCAGGGGAGTCTTCCAAGGACTGGGCAGGTCTTCCTCTCTCTCCTAGCAGACCTTCCTCCAAGCTCTAGGCTCAGAGGTCTTTGGCTCTTGGCCTTTGGTGCACTCAAGGGCTTATGCCCCTGGACATTCACAGACTGACTGAGCCAGAAGAGAAGCAAGGTCAGGGAGGTATTGTACTTGTAATAGCAGGGGATCTCCAGGTGCCACCTGGAGGTTAGCAATGCTAGGCAGAGGGCTAAATTGAAACCTTTCTCCATGACAATTTGATTTCTACTTTAACGGGATTTTATTACTTAGAGAAAATCCCACTCCAGTGCCAGCTTGATGGTCTCCTCGTGTCTTTGTTTTACTTATTGTGATGTAGAACCATTCTTCGGGTTTCTTCAACAAAATCACAAAATCTAAGGATTCAGAGTCTTCCGAGGCTGCTATCAAATAACAAGTGGATCATGCCTACATGTCTCTGAATCCTTAACTGAACTAGACCTTTGAGTTTAATCCAAATGAATTTTAAATGGGAGCAGAACTCCCCAGATATGTCCTCCGTGTTACAATCTATTTTGGTTTAGATGGTAGGAATTCTAATGAGCAGATTGAATTAACAGGCACAAATGTGAAGTTATTATATTCATGCTGATAGGCATCTCCCCTCCCGCGCAGTGGAACCGAATACTGCATGCACCATGGTTTTCCAAGCGCATTACACGGAAGAAAGATTGCATTTGCAAAGGACCTGAAGTTACAAAGCATCCTAGCTAGGATAAGTGGACCAGTATCTCCTGTTGCCCTTTCCCAATAATCAGGGCAAGGCTGTTGGTAATTTGTGGGACTCTCTGTCCCAGGAGTAGGGATGCCAGCCTCGAGGTGGAACCTGGAGATCCCCCGGAATTAGAGGTCAACTAAAAGGTAAAGGTAAAGGTTCCCTTGCTTGAAAGCCAGTCGAATCCGACTCTAGGGTTGCGGTGCTCATCTCCGTTTCAAAGCCGAAGAGCCAGCACTGTCCGAAGACGTTTCTGTGGTCATGTGGCTGGCATGACTAAACACCAAGGTGCACGGAACGTTGTTACCTTCCCACCAAAGTGGTACCTATTTATCTACTTGCAATTTCTTGCTTTCGAACTGCTAGGTTGGCAGGAGCTGGAACTAGAGAT